ACGAGGTTCGTACCCAAGGGCAACAGAAATAATGGGAAAGCCAGAACGAGGTTCGTACCCAAGGGCAACAGAAATAATGGGAAAGCCAGAACGAGGTTCGTACCCAAGGACAACAGAAATAATGGGAAAGCCAGAACGAGATTCGTACCCAAGGACAACAGAAATAATGGGAAAGCCAGAACGAGGTTCGTACCCAAGGACAACAGAAATAATGGGAAAGCCAGAAAGAGGTTCGTACCCAAGGGCAACAGAAATAATGGGAAAGCCAGAACGAGGTTCGTACCCAAGGGCAACAGAAATAATGGGAAAGCCAGAACGAGGTTCGTACCCAAGGACAACAGAAATAATGGGAAAACCAGAACGAGGTTCGTACCCAAGGACAACAGAAATAATGGGAAAGCCAGAACGAGGTTCGTACCCAAGGACAACAGAAATAATGGGAAAGCCAGAACGAGGTTTCGTACCCAAGGACAACAGAAATAATGGGAAAGCCAGAACGAGATTCGTACCCAAGGACAACAGAAATAATGGGAAAGCCAGAACGAGGTTCGTACCCAAGGACAACAGAAATAATGGGAAAGCCAGAAAGAGGTTCGTACCCAAGGGCAACAGAAATAATGGGAAAGCCAGAACGAGGTTCGTACCCAAGGGCAACAGAAATAATGGGAAAGCCAGAACGAGGTTCGTACCCAAGGGCAACAGAAATAATGGGAAAGCCAGAACGAGGTTCGTACCCAAGGGCAACAGAAATAATGGGAAAGCCAGAACGAGGTTCGTACCCAAGGACAACAGAAATAATGGGAAAGCCAGAACGAGGTTCGTACCCAAGGACAACAGAAATAATGGGAAAGCCAGAACGAGGTTCGTACCCAAGGACAACAGAAATAATGGGAAAGCCAGAACCAGGCCTTGGTTGACCCAAAGGTGTAGAGAAGACAAAACTAAGTGCTCTGTCGTACGGAGTCTGTGTAAAAGACAAAGGACCCAGAAAATAAGATTAGTCGAAGAGTTTCGCCTACACAGTAGGCTTCTTCAGTCGAGTACAGAAAAGTTGATCGACTGAAGAAGCCTACTGTGTAGGCGAAACGTTTCGAAATAAAGATACCTAACTGTTGCATATGTGTCTTACATAACATTAGTCGAAGAGCCAGAAACGAATATGCACAGATAAGAGGAAGGCCCAGCGGCAGTACGAAAATGACGGAACACTGAAAGTCATGTCTGACCAGGCTGTTGTACAGCCACATCAGGAGGAAAACAAAAGTCAAGGACCAAGTAATCAGGCTGAGGAAGGAAGGTGGGGAGCTCACAAGAAACGACCAAGATGTATGGGAAGAGCTCAACTTGAGATTTAGTGAAGTATTGTGAGTGGGGACCGAATAGACTCCAGAAAGCCGGAATAGTGGGGTACACCAACAAGTGCTGCACATACTACACATAACCGAATATGAGGTGAAGAGGCTTCTAAGGGAACTAGATACCTTAAAGGCGGTGGGACCAGAAAATATCCCCCCGGGGGTCCTATAAGGGAGCAGGGGCCCTTTTGTGTGCCACATCAACAATCTTCAACACATCTACGAAAGGGCGACACCTGAGGTGGGGAAAGGCAGCAATGTACCCAAATAAGCACAAAAAGTGTCACGACAATGATCAAAGTCATAGAGAAAATTATCATTAAAGAAGGTGGAGGCTAGAAGTAAATACTGATCACGACACCCAGCACGGATTCGGGAAAGGAAATCATGGCGGCAAACCTACGGGAGTGTTACGAAAAGGTGAGGGAAGAAGAAAGAGAGGGGTGGGAAGATTGCTTTTTTTCTTTGACGTAAGAAGGCTTTTTGACGCCCCACACAGGAGATTTTTCAAAGCTGAGGACCGGGCAGGAAAAAAAACTCAATGTCAAAATACCTGGAGAGAGGAAACGAGAGTCATGGTACGTGACGAATTTCAGAGTGAGGCCCTGTACGAGTGAGGTTCCCCCTTTTTTTTTGGTGGCATCCGGGGTTTTTGGGGACTGGTGGGGGTGGCATCCTGGGTGTTAGTGGACTGGTGGGGGTGGCACCGGGGTTTTTATGGACTGGTGGGGGTCATCCGGGTTTAGGGGACGGAAAGGGTCCATCCTGGGTTTTTGGTGAACGGGTGGGGGGTGGCATCCGGGGCCCAAAACGACCAAATTTTTGTGGAAATGCCACATAACAAAATTTTCTATAGAGTAGTATGCAATAAGGTCACATAAACGGTGATATCAGAATAGCAAAAAAACCACGTAAAAATAGGAAATTCCAACCGCTTCGTTCTTCCACTTTTCAAAAAACTTCAAATGTGAACGTCACAAAGTTTTTTTGCATAAGTTTTATGTCTTTGATGCAGCTAGGGTCTGTAACGTTTACATATTTTACTATATTTGTTAATAGGGGTTGTCAGAGCTTATTCCTCTGTACCACTGAAAAGGGTTGGGAGAATACTTTTTGTTAATGAGTTTGGGTTTGAGAAAGGCCTT